GGAGCCTGGATGTCTCTGGAGGGGGAGGGACAAGTGCAAGGAGGCCTCTTGCTGGCTGCACACCCTCAACCCCAGCCCTGCAGGGTGAGCCCCATGCAGGCTGTGTCTGTGCTCTCTATCTCATGCAGGATCGGCTCATGCTTGGAGAGGCTCTCCACCATCTTGGGTGGGAGGGAATCAAGCAGCGGCACCGCTGTGGGGTGTACTGGAGAGGTGGTGCTAGCCTTGCACTCCTCTTCCCCACTCCACAAGCTGCAGTGTGGAGTCACACCAGGGAAGCCAGGAGGTGCCACTAGCTCAAAGCCCATCCACTCTGCAGGCAGGCAGGAGAGGTGAACACCTTGAGTCCCAGGGAGGGGGGAGTCTGCACCGCTCCCACCCCACCCCACTCCTCAAGCATAGGGGAAGGGAGAGTAGGAAGGCCGCATGTCTTGAGACTCCCGTGGCTCCCCGGAGCACAGGGAAGGCTGTGCAGCTCCTGCCACCCCATCACCCCCTCTCCTATCTATCCTACGCTCGCTGCTCAGAGCAGCAGGGAGGGGGGAGGCCATGCACCTTCCCAAAGCACAGGGGAGGTCACATGGCTCCCTATGGCTCCCACCCCAGAGTACCAGGGAGGAAACTGGGAGCTGGAGGACAGCAAGCATCATCAGCACCAGGCCCTACCCAAGGCGCAGGCTGCCTCTTGGCTCTCACCACACTAGCCACCCGCAGAACTCACCTGCACAGCCACAGCAGTTACTGGCCCAAGGAGTTGTTCCAGTCTCACCCACCGCCACTGCCCTCATCCCGGATGCCTCTGGGCTCCCACTCCAACTTCAGCCCCAGGCTCTTGTTCTGGGAGCTCAGCCACAACATGCTGCAATGGTTTCGCTTTCGAGGCTGGCCCTACTGCGGCGGGAGCCGCTGGGGCAGGAGCTGGAGTTGGGGAAACCGGGGAAGCAACACCCTGGAAGGCTGCCTAGGTGCAGGGGAGGAGCTGGATTCAGCTGCAACCAGGGTTGGAGGGAGCTCTCCCCTCAGACGTGTATCCTTGTGTGGCACAGCAGGAGGATTGGGGGTGGGGGGAGCTGGGTGTGTCCCTTGTTTCCTTACAGCACTGAGGGGGCTGGGACCTGGTGGTGGGAAGGGAATGGCTCATCCCTCAGGCTCTATGTACGGTGCCTCACATAAGAGTCTCAAGGATCACATTGTACAGCGTGCATGGCGAGATGTTGGAGTGAAGCTGGGTGACTGATTCACATGGCGGCTGTATGCAAAGCTCAGTGGGAAGAGGCCATGAGGGGGGAGGGGCAGCAGGACACAGAGTGATGTCACTTTGTCATCCCACAGGAAAAGATTTTTTATATATATAGAGAGAGAGATTATATTAAGAAAACAGCCAATTGCATAATTTCTCCTGGAATATATGTCTACAAAGCCTAATGTAAACAGAGAAGGACTGATTTTAAGAAATATTGGTCAACACTGAGAAGGTAGAACAGCTAAAAAGTGTTTTGGCTACAATTCAAATTCACACCTTTTCTATAAAAACATATTAAGCAAAACCAAGCAAAGCTTCATAGAAAATTTGTGGGACAGAAAAAGCTGAGAGAAAAACTTCACTGACTAGTTATCTATTTTTAGGAATTTTAAGAATTCATGCCCCATTTTAAGATCCTATAATCCTAACTACGAAGCTGTTACCAGGTGCCTCCATAAAATCAGTGAGATCTACTATTTCCTTATCCATGGGACTATTCTCCTGCTCTTTATAGTCTCCTACAATATCCTGGTTGCTCATAGAATTATTGAACTATAGGGCTGGAAGGGCCCTTGAGAAGTCATCATTATCAGCCCTCTGCAATGAGACAGGACTAAGTAAACCTAGGTCATCCTTGACATGCATTTCTTCAACAATTTATTAAAAACAAACAAATAAACCTAGTGATACAAATTCCACAACCTCCCTATCCCTATGCCTATTCCAGAGTTGAACTATCCTTATATTATAGATAGAAAGTTTTTCCTGTCTAACCTAAATCTGCATTGCTGTAGATTAATCGTATTACTTCTTCTCCTACCTTCAGTGGGCATGGAGAACTACTAATCAATATCCCTTCAGAGAAGCACTTAACATAGTTGAAGACTTATCAGGCCTCCTTCAGTCATCTTCTCTCAAGACTAAACATGGAGGCTACGTCTACACTGGCCCCTTTTCCGGAAGGGGCATGTAAATTTCACGAGTCGTCGTAGGGAAATCCGCGGGGGATTTAAATATCCCCCGCGGCATTTAAATAAAAATGTCCGCCGCTTTTTTCCGGCTTTTAAAAAAGCCGGAAAAGAGCGTCTAGACTGGCCCCGATCCTCCGGAAAAAGCGCCCTTTTCCGGAGGCTCTTATTCCTACTTTGAAATAGGAATAAGATACTTCAAAGTAGGAATAAGACCCTCCGGAAAAGGGCACTTTTTCCGGAGGATCGGGGCCAGTCTAGACGCTCTTTTCCGGCTTTTTTAAAAGCCGGAAAAAAGCGGCGGGCATTTTTATTTAAATGCCGCGGGGGATATTTAAATCCCCCGCGGATTTCCCTACGACGACTCGTGAAATTTACATGCCCCTTCCGGAAAAGGGGCCAGTGTAGACGTAGCCGGAGGGTTTTTTCCCCCTAAAGTGTGGGTCCTAGGATTGAACACTACTTCTGATGAAACCTTACAAGTGCCAAATAGAGACAATTACACATAGCATGACCCTAACCAAAGAGAGATAATTACCTTCTATGTCTTAAATATAATAATATACCTTAGAATTGTATTAGCCTTTTTTGTAATTATATTTTTGACTCATTCAATTCGCAATCTAGTAAACCCTCCAGATCTTTTTCGGTGGTAGTACTACCTGTTGTACTAATCCCCATTTTGTAGTTGGGCATTTGATTTTTTTCTTACTAACTGACACTCCTCATTGAATTTCATCTTGTTAACTTCAGATCAGTTCTCCAATTTTCAAGGCTGTTTGAGTTCTAATCCTATCTTCCAAAATGTTTGCAACTGTTCCCAACTTGGTGTCATCTGCAAATTTTATAAGCAAATTCTCTACTTCATTATCTAATCATTAATGAAAATACTGGTTAACACTGGACCTAGGACTGACTCCATTTGTACCCCGGAGATACCCCTCCCAGTTTGACAGCAAACCATTATTAACTACCTTTTGAATACAGTCTTTCCATCAGTTGAACATTCATTTTATAGTAATTTGTTCTAGACTGCATTTCCTTAGTTGCTTATGAAAGACTGTCACAATAGACTGTCAAAAGCTTTACTAAAATCAAGAGATATCAAGAATCTATTGCTTCTACCCTATCAAATTATGATAGAGGGAAATTAAATTGGTGTGAAATGATTTGTCCTTGACAAATGCATGCTTGCTCTTTCTTGTAACCCTATAATAATCTAGACACATACAACTTGATTGTTTAATAAATTATTCCAATATCTTTGCAAGTATTAAAGTTAGGCAGACAGGTCTAATTCCCCGGGTTCTCTCCATTCCTCTTTTTAATGGTTGGCCCAATTTTTGCCTTTTCAGTCACCTGCAATCTCACCCATCCTCCATAAGTTCTCAAAAAACTATTAATGGTTCTGAAATTGCTTCAGCTAGTTCTTTAAGTATCCTAGCTACTTCATCAGGCTAACATGAATATATCCAGCTAATCTAAATAGTGATTAGACTGTTATTTCCTTACTTTGCCTTACATTCCTTCCCCATTTTTCTTAACATTGATTGTGTTGAATATCTGATCACAATTCACCTTTTTATTGGAGATTGAAACAAAATAGGCATTAAACAACACATTCTTTTTGATGTTGTCACTTAGGGTACATCTACACTGCACGGTTATCTCAAAAGAAGCTATTCTGGAATAGTTATTCTGAAATAGCTTATTCCGAAATAGCACATCACCACTGCAGGAAAGCCTCAAAGTTAGTCTGAGCCAGGATTCCCTAATATAGATGTGCTAGGAGGCACTGGAGAGGAATAAATTAGAATGGCCCTGGTGAGGGGCTATTTCGAAATATCAGAAGTGGAGCGTCTACACACACCTTTTTTTAGAAATAGCTATTTCGGAATGGGCATTATTCCTCGTAGAATAAGGTTTACAGATTTTGGAGTAAGTCGTCCATTATTTCAAAATTATTTCAAAATAACGGAATGGCTGTGTAGATGCTCAAATTGTTATTTTGAAATAATGCTACTTATCTTGAAGGAATGGTGCAGTGTAGATGCACCCTTAGTAATCTGTCTTCTCCACTAAATATATCTACCCTTTATTCCTTAAATTTTCTTTTCATAAGACTTTACCTACCAGTTCTTTGAGTTTGTTCATTACTTTTTTTGAAGTCCGTTCTCCTTATTCTGCTATGCTTTCCTTTCTTTCCTTAGAATAAAGATATCTATCCTTTCATGACCAGTTTCACCCAAACTGCCTTCCATCTTCAGATTTGCAACCAATTCTTCCCTATTGGTCACAATCAAGTCCAAAATGTACATTTCACAGATAATGTTTTGCCCAAAAATACTGTATAAGGGCTACAGGAAAGCTGCTACTGTTTTGTTTATTTTGAAGCAGTAATGTCGTATTATAGCGTTGTACAGTTTGAATGAAGCAGTTGCCTCCATGTGCATCTGTAGGTAATGACGTGAACTATAAATATTAAATCAGCAGGTTAGCTTTATATTTGAAGTCTTCTAAATCATATTTTAGAACAGCCGTGTATTTCTATTACAAGGCCATTCCGAGACCTCAGTTCGCATCACTCATTAACCTATGATTGCCAGCAGGATAGCCAGGAGATGCAGATTCCACTAAGAATGGTAGGAAACAGGCTCAAATTTGCATTGGATCACATCCTTAGATCATGTTGCCCTGTAATGACTGCAGGTCACCTCTCAGTCTCTCTCCTTTTCTCACATGCATTCCACACATACAAACACACCATTTAACTCAGGTCAAATACATACCATTTCCTTGAATGATTTCTGATGCACATTGGTCCAGCACAGACATGTTTGCTAATATTGTCACAACCTGTATTAAGGAGAGATGAGAATATAAAACACGGCGTTACAATTCAAAAATGATAAATATATCTACTATTTCATATACCAAATACAACAGTATCACCAGAACAATAGAGTAGAATAAAAAACAATTTCTAAAGAAACCCATCCTTCTGGGCTGACATTTTGTTATCACTTCCTCACACTCTGACACTGCTCACCTGACACTTAACAACACTCAAGAGTGTAGAGGCCCCACTTTAGTTTCACTCTAGCCATGCTCCCAACATGTACTAGGTTGTAGATTCATCACTCCTACAGCAGAGGATTCTTGGTGGTAAGATTTGATGCTCTATGTAAGTCCCTTTATGCTGTTAACAGTGGCACTGGAATTATTTTTAGCATGGGGGTGCTGTGCTGTGTCCCCCCTCCATACCTTTTGTGTCCCTTACCACTCCAAGCTGGGGTCACACCTAGGGTTGCCAGCTCTCCTGGACTGGATGCCATTGCTGCAAATGCAGGACAATGTAGCACTTTAAAGACTAACAAGATAAAGTGCTACATTGTCCTGCATTTTGCTTCAGCTACCCCAGACTAACACGGCTACATTTCTATCACTATTGCTGCAAATGGTTTCCAGAATGTCTGGTCTGGGAGAGTTGGCAACATTAGCCACAGCATCAAGTGGCTGCAGAGTCCCGAGTCAGTGGTGGGATCACAAGTAGCAGTGGAGCCTTCAGGGCCAGTGGTCTGGAGCCTGGGGATGGCCGCTGAGGGACTCCAGAGAGAGGGGAAGCTGGCAGGGATGGCAGGACCCCAGAGGCTGAGACCGAGGGTTGGTGAAGCTTGAGATGGTCAGCAGCAGGGCTAACCCCTGGGCATGGGGAAGCCAAGAGCAAAAACCTGGAGATGCTTCAGTACCCCCTGTAGCTGACTTCCTGCACCTGTAGCTGTTAAGTCAGCATAAAGGGTCTGAAGGGCTACAAAGAATTAGGCATCTAGCATTTTTCACTTATGTACAAATCCATACTCAGATTCAGACAAAACTCCCATTGAATAAGTACTGAGAACTTCAGTGTATGTCCAAGCAATAATCTAATCAGAAATGAAATTCAACTTTAAAACATGGTAGAAAACAATGATTAATCCTCACAACTCCCTTGGGAGTTTGGTGTTTTGGGCCTTGACTATGGAAATCACGTATTTATATCTGTTCTTATGTGTTCAAAGGACAACACGTAAGTACAAATTTAAAATGTATTGAAGTCAGCGGTGTTTCAGATATGCTCACGTGTTGTCTTGAAAAGAAATGGCCTTAAACAAATGGGTAAATGTTGGTACCATAGTCACATTTTGCAGCTGGAGAAACAGAAATGAAAGACCTGATTGGCAGAGCTGCTGAGCAATTACAATAGGAGTTGTGATTTTTCAGTGCTTCTCAATCAGGTATTCACAGCCCATTACTTACTGTAATAATCACTGTGCAAAATATGCCTCAGTGGGTGTCATGTAAAAATGAGCAATGCACTGATTGCTAATATTCTTGGGTAATGTATGTACAAAATGCAGATTAAGAGTTATGACCATAAACAGAAATCATGACTACAATGCATTTACCAGACATATTTGGGAAGAGATTTGACTGGTTTCTCAAAGACAAAGGAAAAATCGATGCCTCTCTCCAGGTGTCAAAGTGGATTTCTATCACCTGTGAAGTGGCCATTCTTTGGCAGTAAGGGGGGACAGAAACCGATTCATCTATGTTTTAGCAAACAATAACGCAGAACCCCTTTTGCCACAAGATTCCATATCTCCAACCTCAGGAGCGGGAATAACTTTATCTAGGGATAACCCTCAGGAAAATGCCTTTCAATGTGTGACTAGACTATAAATGGAAGGCAAAAAACCCCACACACTATCGCTCCCTCTCTCTTTTATAGAAGAACACAAAGGAGCTATCCCTTTGAAGTTGCAGGGGGATTCTGACCTGATAGTTTGGGTCATCGATGTAGGTGCGAACACATGATAAGAAATTTTTACTTTGAACCAACTCTAGCTTTTTCTAATCTATTTCTCTTGTCACCACTTTTGATTTCAATAACTTATTCTTGCACACATTTAAAATCTTTGTAGTTTAATACATTCATTTTTTTAATCAAAACTAATTGAGTGTTGAGGTTCATCGGAGCAGTTAGGGTGATTCTGATTAAAGTAGCAAACTGTCAAACATTTTGGGTACATCTACACTGCACAGCTATTTCAAAACAAACTACTCTGGAATAGTTATTCCGAAATAGCTTATTTCAAAATAGCATGTCTACACTGCAGGGAAGCCTCAAAATTAGGCTTCCCTAATGTAGATGTGTCATCTCGATTTAGGGCCCCAAGAGGCACTGGAAAGGAATAACTTAGACTGGCTCCAGGGAAGGGCTATTTCAAAATAGTAGCAGTGGAGAGTCTACACATGCCTTATTTAGAAATAGGTATTTCGGAAAATTGTTATTTCCCATGGAATGACGTTTACAGATTTTGGAATAAGCCGTCCATTATTTTGAAATTTTGAAATAACAAAATGGCTGTGTAGACACTCACATTATTTCAAAATAACACAATTTATCTCGAAATAACTGTGCAGTGTAGAAGCACCCTTACTGTTTATAGGAGCAACATGCCCCTAATATATGAACTGTGCTGGAGAGGGCTACACAATGCAGAATACACATTTATGGGAAATTTGAGGACTAGGAGTGTGTTGGGGGCACCCTGCAGGAGGTAACCAAGGCTGGTGGAATCCAGGGTGTGACTGGAGTGTGCCTAGTGGACTGCTGGGGTCAGAACCACTCGACCAAGGCTGTAGCTATGCAGAGATATGGGATGTCAGCCAGGCACGTTGCCAAGGGTAGGCCTGAGTGCACTGTGACCCACCCACTTATCCTCTAGGCCCATCTATCCTAGTCCCACATCTGCTTCTGTCCCAACGTTTGCCCTGTCTGCCCGCCTGGCACTCCAGCCAGGGTTAGCAGTCAGGGCCTGGGGTTGGTTTTGCTCCACCCTCCTGGTACTTTTGTCAGGGAGTGGGATTGGGGAATGGGGATTTGCAAACCAACCCCCAAATCCATCACCGGGAAATGTGACAAGAAATTAAGGAATTATAAGTATTCCATGATTCTCAAAATCTGTCCCAAACCAATTTATTGGAGGCCATGCAATCCGTCATTAATAGAAGCTGGATTAGAAATAAACTGTCCCCTGGTCCCACAGTAAACTCACTATACTATATTGTTTTCAATGATGCGGCTCTTCAGGGTGGGGTGCAAAGATATTGTTACATATTTCAATATTCATATAACTCTCTGCCTATCTTGCTGCATGCAAAAAGCGGTACACGTTATTATTCGTTATGTAAAGAGATTGTGAACAATCATTATTATACATAAATCCCAAAACAAAATAGAAATAAGTAAGTGCAGTAAAAGACTTCTTTGTTGTCTTGTTCCTTATCCTCTCCTGATGTTGTTGATCTGCTTAAGGAATAATGGAAGGAAGAGGGAAACATATGGATAACAGTTTTTGGTTGTAGAATTTGTGTTCACAGACAAACTTCATTGACAGATGTAAGCAAGCATGAGAACCAATTACCATTAATGTTGATCTCACTATGCCGTTATAGTAACAAAGGTGACTAATTTTTAGTGCTCTGACATAAAGGTCTTCCACTTTCCAAGGCACGTTATAGTGTCATGGCTCTGAATAAATTCACTCACTTAGGATGCAAATGAGCTGATGAATCTCTAAAGAGTGACAGGTAGAAAAATGGAAACTCAATATATATGTCTAGGTATTTATTCCATGTTAATTATTAACAGAGTTTCAGGCAGAGTGTATATGTTTTTTCATTCTAAATTATATCCTGTTAATGAAAATTACTTCCTCTATGCAGACTCTGTACCCCATGTGGCTCTCTAAGTGATAGATGAATTCAATTAACCACAATTTGAATACATGCCAATTATTTCACGGCTTCAAGTTATTTTATCTAATAAGTATTTTTGTATGTAAAAATATGTTGTGTATTTTTGCATAGTAGAAATCACTTAAATGGGGGAGGGGGTGCCTGGGCTCAATCAAGACAGCTCTGTTTTCAATCAAGACAATACAGCATATTTGTATGATATATTTGTGTGCTAGTGAAAAAGGATTAAATTTGCCCCATGCAGGAGATGCCTACAAGGCTTACACACTACTTGGGTCCTACTAAGGCCTTATTTTGAGGTCTTAAGCAGGGCTTAAAAGGCATTTTAGTTTTAGAGTAAACACCAAACTATGGCTCTCCAACTAAACTGTTATTTCCATCTTAACAGATAGATGTGAAATCAGGGAGCCCATGAAAAATTAAGACAGATGTCTGGCTCCCTTTGAAAGAAAAGATATTTGAAAAATAATAAGGATTACATGGAATTAATTTATTAAAAAATGCTAATATTTGTCATAGAATGCCACAACCTGTTACCATGAAAGTGATACAGAAAAAGAAACTGAAAATATCTGGGACATGCAGGAGTGACGACAACCTCCATGGATCCCTGGACAAGGTGAAAGGGGAGCCAGATCTGTGCTCCCGGAAGGGACAGAGCTTCAAGCAGAAGGTGTGGGGCTGGGGCAGTCAGCCCTTCTTGCTACCCATTACCCACAGCCCTTAGAGGTGTCTGGAGAATGGTGTGCCCCCTCCCCTGGCGACCCTCAGAGCTGCACAGAACACACAGCATTGCACTCTGGTGGCAATGGAAAGGGACCAGTGTTCCAGCCACTTTCACATTAGCAGTATCAGCAGCTGTAAGCCCTGAGCCCCTTTGAAACACCAGGCCCTGGGGCAACTGCCCCCTCTTCTCCCTCCCCACATCTGCAGACCTGGAGACATGCATTAAGCATGAAGCCAAGGCTCATGGCATGGCAGACATGCCAGTGGGCAGCTAGGACAACCTGTAAAAGGGCCAACTGAATGAAACTCGTAATTAAACACTAGCTGGG